CCCCCCCCCGCCTTTTCTTTTAATTGCGTGGTTGTGCTACCTTACTGCTAGGTTTTTTTTCTGTTTTCTCTTTTGTGTACGTAGTTGTTCTTACATTTGTACAGTAGATGTTCTGCATGTCCAAAGCACAACCTTTGCAGAAGTAAGAGTTTAAATATTTGAAACCATCCACAGAAAAGATAATCCGCACTTCAGTGATGATTTCATAGTCCTCTAAAACATTCAAAGCACTGAGGAAAATCACCAGGATTTGGCATTTTTAGTGAGAATCTAGGAAGCAGCTTTCCTCTTCCCATCTATGTTTAAACTGCTATCCACAGAGCATTCTAAATTTTATTTAAGGAAGGTCTGGGGTGGCTTCTGCACTCACAAATTCCTCACAAACTGACAGCATTGAGCAGAAGCAGTAAAGTCTAACTTTGGAAGTCACTTTTACCTTAAGGATTTAATTAAATAGGTGACAGTAGAGATTAGTGACATGTGCCGTGCTAATAATCTCTGGGATTCTCCTGCTTCACCTCCATTCAGTAGTGTCAGATTTCATCTTCCTGTAGAAACTTGGCTTATGACTTTTGCTATGTGTAACTTCAATATCATGTGTAGTTGAAGAGAGGGGAAGTATCACACTTCATTTATTAAGGATCATTTAAAACCGTATTTCCAGGTAAGTGATAGAACCTGGTTCTACTCCTTCCTTGTCCCAATATCAAAAAACATAACCTCTGTTAAAATCCAGTGCTGTTCAAATGATACAGCAGGCACTTTAGGTGCAACATATTTTCTTCAATAAACCCAAATAAATCGAGCAAGCAGTAACATTTTCCTTCCCTGCACTTGGTTCCATGGCTATAGCATGACAGCAGCCATGTAGATAGAACACATAATATTTTGACTTTCTCAGTGAAATTTTCATGAGAAATATTATGGTCAGAAAAATTTTTGAACAGCTCCTGGGAGTGATTTAAGGAAGGTAATATGCCCGTGTCTAATGAGACAGAGGTGTGCACACACACACAGGTGCACTGTATTTAGAATGGTAAAGCAATGCAAGTTTACAGATCTACCTCACCAAAAGTACTTAGGGAACATTTCAGGGAGCTGGACTCAATGATCCTTATGGGTCCTTTCCAACTTGAGATATTCTATGATTCTAAGTTCCATAGTAAAGGAACACCCTGCATAATACGTGCTCATCAGAAGAATGATAAAACATTTCCATTTCAAGCTATAATGAAAGGATGAAACATTTCCATTTCAAGCCATAACAGAAGAGATAGATAAAAATTATTGTTCTGCTCCCTTAATGAAGGGGATGGAGGGAAAGGATTAGTTCTTGCATTCTTGGGAGGTACCTTGAAATAGCCATTTGAATATACCACAAACACTACTCAAATACTTGCATAAAGGCATTTTATTATTAATACAATGTATATGTAGATTTTTTTTTTCTTTTTTTTTAATCTGAGGTGCTTATATAAACAGAGCCATACCAGTTGAACGACAGTTAGTTTACAGGGCATGACAGTGGTTGAACACCCTTCAGCTCCAAAGCTTTGCTGAAGTTAATCTCTTGAGGTTTAGCAGTACCCTTGGTGAGCTTCAGAAATCGAATACATCCTTTAAAACGGATATTAGTGGTCAGCCCAAACTGGGTCACACCATCTGAAGGAGGGAAAAAAGAGGCAAAAGGAATTATGTAAGTCTGGGCTGATACTTAACTTTGTTCTTTCAGAGTCCTGCAGCAGAATGGATGTCCCCAACAATATATGGATATGTTTTATTTGCTGTACATCTTCTTTAATCAAAAAATGACAAACATTATGAGTTAATGTGATAAATGCTTATGTTAGTGGTAACAATCCAGTCTTCTTTCCTTTTTCTGTCTGTTACAGCAGTGGCAGGATATGAACACCTTTCAACTACCGTTGTAAACCATATAACTCAGGTATGTGACATAGAGGAAATTAAGGAAAATGGCCAAATGGCAGCTTGCTACTTACAAATGGTGTATGATGCATACATGCTCATCCTGCAGATATCCAAATTCTCAAGCTATTTATCCACAGAATAACAACAGAGAAAAAAAAAATAGATGCAGTTCTCAGCCCTAACATCATGAGAAAGCCAGTTCCTCACTATGAACTTCAGGTGTCATTTAAGGAATTGTTTTGAGAGTTTGCAAACATTCTGAATTTTTTCTTGCTGATAGTAAAGCCAGGGATTTGAGTACATTCTCTTCCACTGAAGAAAGAGGGAACTATTTGTCCTGGTTGCAGCTGGGATAGAGTTAATTTTCTTCCTAGTAGCAGGCATAGTGCTGTGGTTTGGATTTCGGAGGAGAAGAATGTTGATAACACAATGATGATTTTTAGTTATTGCTAAGTACTGCTTATGCTAGTCAAGGACTTTTCAGCTTCCCATGCTCTGCCAGGCGCACAAGAAACTGGGAGGGGGCACAGCCAGAAGAGTTGATCCAAACTGACCAAAGGGCTATTCCATACCATATGACGTCATGCTCAGTATATAAACTGGGGGGGTTGGCTGGGGAGCAGCGATCGCTGCTCGGGAACTGTCTGGGTATCGGTTGGTGGGTGGTGAGCAATTGCATTGTGCATCACTTGCTTTGTATATTATTATTGCTAGTATCATTATTGTATTGTTACTGTTATCATTACCATTTTACTTTATTTCAATTATTAAACTGTTCTTATCTCAACCCAGGAGTGTTTCTCACTCTTACTCCTCCGATTCTCTCCCCCATCCCATCGGGGTAGGGGGAGTGAGCGAGTGGCTGCGTGGTGCTTAGTTGCTGGCTGGGACAAAGCCATGACACTATTCTAGCATGACCAGATGATAGAAGTGAGGGTTGGTTTGACTGGGAAGCTGGAAATATTTCTCACAACTGCTTGAAATTCATGGCCCAACTTGTTGCTCAGTTTTCTTCTGAGTGAAAAAGTCGCTACAGGGATGCACTCTGATACAAATCAATGTGACTGATAAGGGTTGCAGAAATAACTTTACACCTGTAGAGGACTGACTGGCCCTAGCATTATGCTGTTTCACAGAGGATGAGATGGTTGAATCCATCTGTCCCTCCTTGCACAGGGACGAGTGATAGTAGGAGATGAGTAATGGCTTTCATGTGTAGCCAGGAATTTACATCCTTGCTCATGCTCTGATGGTGAAAAGTTTCTCTGCACAGGAAATTCTCCGCCAGCCAATTCTAGCTGGTTTACAACTGTTTTGCACTGTTTATGCAGCTAGGAGAAGCCTCAAGAGAACTGGAAAATACAAATGCTTACTCATTTTACAAAATCCTGTGATACTGTGTTTTAAATTTGTGATGAGGCTGTCTAGGTATTAGGAATGTTAAAACAAATCTTGGATGAGCTAGACTAGACAGCAAGAGAAGTGTGAGGTGTTTAAATGTGCAGGTAGGTTTATTAAATCATTTCATAACTTGCCATGCGGCTGAACTCAGAAATATCACTTCAAGATGATGTAACTGTTAGGCTGGTTTTGTACAGATTGCAGTGTTACTTCCATTTGTTTCTCTTGCTATGTTCCTACATACAGTCCAGAATGAGATAGTAACTCCATCCACAGTGTTTCTTTAGTGCTAGCTCCTATGCTAGAATCCTGCTCTGTTATAAAAAGCCTGCCACAAAGCTGTTTTCCTTCTGGCACAAAGTTGTTGGTCCTTATCAATAGTCACTATGACTGAAGTACAACTTTCATATCTCAGTATCAAGAACATTTTTTAAAATGTTCCGAAGCTTGAGGGAGAAGGCTTTTTTGGATGCACTGTATCACACATTAGAATGGGGGAAAAAACAACTTCCAGAAAATCATTTTGGAATTAACTCAAGAGGCATCTTGCCATTGACCTCAGTGTGCACTAGAGCAGACACATACTGCAAACATACTTAGCTTTTTTGTTTGCAAACTAGAGGAACACTATTATAAATGCAATAAAATTGGCACTTTGCAAACATCTTAACTGTGTTTTCAGAAAGTAAACTGCTATTACGTAAACTTATTGACTGTCTATGAACAGATGAATACTAGCATTCATTATCAGCTTAGCGGAAGATGAAGCTAGCTACAGAGCTTAGTCTAGTTCTGGATCCTGTTCAATTACCTCTGCATGAAGCGAGTTCTCTCGAGGGCTTCCAGAACACCGAGTAGAAAATTTTGATTATTTTTTTTTTCCTTTAAAAATGACCAGACCACGAGCAAAGACATTCATAAGAAAGAGATGGTGTCCTCTCACCTCTCTGTGCAAGCTGTTGTCCACATTCAGTTCCTCAGGTTTTGCAGGCTGATTTACACACACAGTGCCCTGCCCCACCAAGGGCATATATGCATTCTTCAGTTAAATTTAAATTTGCCATTCTTAAGTTAAATTTAAATTTGCCAAATGCTGTTACTATTGAAACATAACTATTATGCTGTTACTAAACAAGAAGTTTTAAGAGGGAGGCTATGTGTTTGTGTGTGAGCAGCAGAAGGCAGAAAGTCTGCCTGCTCCTCTGTGGCAGTGCCTACATTTGAAACCAGGCAAGGGGATCTGTGAGAGGCCCTTGGTGCTGCAGAACTTCGTGCTCCGAAATGCAGCTGGATGCAGAAATGAGCATCCATACCAACTGATACAAACTTGGACAGTCTTACCCATCGTCTTTAGCATACTAGTCCTAATTGCATGTAAGACATTACCAAGGCAGTGTTGCTAGAGAATAAGTAAAGCATCATTTGTGTGTTAAATGCTCACCAGGATATCCTCCAACAAAGACAGGGTCGTTAGTGTCTGCTGAGGTTGAGGCCCTGTTTGGGCTGTTACCATCCACCTGTCTGTCATCCACAGTCAGCTCTAAACGGTGTTTGATCTTGTTTGCAAGAACCTTGTGCCACTGTCCATCACACAAGCTGCCTGGTGCATCGGGTTCATAGATAGCAGAGAATCGGCCTGCACCATTGTCAACGTGAAACATCACCTGAAAAGCGTGACATGGAAGTCAGCGAGTTCTCAAAACAGTTCTACAAGGTTTTGGGGGTTTTTTTTTGTTTGTTTGTTTATTTAAAGTCAGCATGCTCTGACTGTGAACACTAAAGCTCTAATTTAATACCAGATGCTATGTGAACTGCTGTTCCTGAGATAAACACTAGTGGAAATATGCAAAATTGTTGGATAGGTTGTCATTTTTCCACTTTTTGTCTTAGTTTTGGGGTGTTTTACGCCCCTCCCCCCCCCCCCCCCCCCAGCTCTTTATAGCGATAGATTACTGACTGGTTTTCCAGACTGTGAAATAAAAGATACACACAGGAAAATAGTATTATTAATGACAAAGACTTTCCTCAAAACTTTTGATAGTCTCACTAATTTAAGTCCTGATGTTGCAGTTTTAGGAAACGCAAGTATTACAGAATCTTTTAAAACATCTTTGTAAAAGTGTAAGAGCTTCTTGATGTATGGGAAGTGGCAAGTGCTGCATAAAGGAGAGCCATGATGTTGTCTGAGACACCTTGAGATTGGTGTAGTAAGCTTGCATTTAAACAACCTGTGCTGTCTAAAACCAGTCTCCATAAAGAGCCAAATATGCTTTGCTACTCACTTTTCCATCTACTAATTCAATGCCAAGCCCATCCATTTTCTGGCTGCTGACTCCTAGGAGAACTCCGTTCATTCGTGTTGTACGGAATTCAAATTCCACGAGCAGGTCTGTTCCCACTTTATATGCACCAACTTGGAGAGAAAAGCAGAAGAAAAGCATTTAACACATTATTCCTAATAATCACACAAAGTGTGTTGCCAGTAATGCAAGGTAACTAACTCAGGTTACTCAGCACTATTAATGCACTCCATTTCATGTGAGATCATGTAAGTAACTGTTATGGTGGCTGTGCTTAGTGTGAGACCTTGCTAGAAAGCCATATAGTCTATCCTTAGGCAAGATAACTAAAAATGATCAGTGAGAATTTCAAGCATTGGTCTCACTTTGCCTCCAGTCAGCAGGAGTTAGGTAGCACTAGAAGTTTTTGAAAGCAGCATCTCCTCTTTCTCTGTTCTTTGCCTATCGGCAGAATTGCTGTTCATTACCTGTTTTGGCAAAGCCTGTTCCATCGAAGTAGGTTCCTTTCTGTGCAGTGACAAAGCATTTTCCAACACTGAAGCTGGAAGTTGGATTATCCAGGTCAACAGGTGATTCTGTCATTTTAAAATTTCTGATGCAGCCATCGATGCTATAGGTGACCTGCAGTCAATATGTCAAACAAAATGTATAACTGTGCAAAGCAAGCTGAAATGCTCAGGATAAAGGCCTGAAGTATGTCATCAAAAAGTACCTTTCCTCTGCTTCTCTGCTGGATTTATGGAGCTGAATAAAACTTGAATTTTACATGGCTAATCCTTAATATCTGGTTGTAATTGGAATCTAATCTCAGTCATACTGAGGATGAATTACATTACTTTTCAGGGATGTGAACTGAGTCACATCTATTTGGCTTAATGGAGGGGACATAAAATAATACACTGCATAATGACACACAGCAAATTACATCAGCAATGCAGGAATTTAATGGCCTATACTTTACCTTTTTAATTGACTAGGTTATGGGGTTTGCGAGTAGATGAAGATACTGGATATAGTTCTCTGGGCTGCTGGGATCCCCCCCCCCCCCCCCCCCGCCACTAGCACTGTGTACCTGCATAATGTTATGATACTAATCTTGCATGTTAAGACTGAGCTAATGCAGGTACACAGCTACTAAAATGAACAAAGCCCCTCCGTAAAGGTTGGTGACTATACATAGTTCTTCGTATAAGAGCCGTATATAGGGCCGGTGCCCACAGGGACAAGGGCCACTCTGTTGGCCAGAGAGGCAGGTGGAGGCGGGGCATGTGCTCAGGTGTATGGAGGCTCCAGTTTGGCTTCTGCACTGGGAGCACATTACTGTGACTCCGAGCGGGTGGTGTGTGCACGCTTAAGCTGGTGGTGTAAGTAAGTGAGATCCTTCCCAGGCAGGAGTGAGGGGCTGCCCAGGCTTCACCCTGGGTTGCCCCGGGGCTGAGCTGCGTGATCAGTGCATCCCAGTGGGACCTCTGAGAGCCACTGGCATCTCCCCCCGCCGTAAACTGCCCCCAGAGCTCTCCCTCCCGTTTCTCTCTGAGGTGTGCAGCAGCTGCATTTTGGTTCTCAGCTTTAGCCAAAGGCTTTGATCTTTGACTTAGAGTTAGGAAAATTTATCCCTGATACCAGTGGAAGAGAGGAAAATGATAAACATGTACTTTGAGGTAGAAAAGGAAGATGTTCATAAGCAATGCAGTAGGAAGGAGGAAAATAAAAATCAGCATATAAAATACAGCGTTGAAATATGTATAAATACAGAAAGGAGAAAGGCACACCTGCAGAGGGAAGGCTTGACTCTGCACACCACCTCCTCTAACAATATCCTGACTAGTAACTTGAAAGAATTTCCAAATAATTTCTTTCCTTGTAAAACAAAGCTGGATGTACTGTGGAATTACATAGCTTATTAAATACACCTGTACAAAGTTTTCACGAGAACTTGAGCAATAACAGTGAATAAATTCAGTTCCGAGCTGAGCAATGCTTTCTGTCAGCTTCTACATAAACAGACCTTTTTCTAATTTCTAAGTGAAGTCATCTCCAGCTCAACAAGTTTTGTTACCAAAAAAGAAAAACACCACAAAAAAACCCCAAATCTTGCCATTTTTACTGTGAGAATAAATCATAGAAACGCAAGATTTGTAGACAACTCGATAACATTCTCTAACTTTAAAATTTCACTTTCCTTATGGAAAAGCAAATCTGGTTATACTTTAGCATGGTAACAGGCAATATAACATCTTTTGCTGAAGGCAGATTTTTGAGAGCTTAAAATGTGACATCTGCTGAAGCCAAATAAGTAGGTATCAGTCTTCTGCACTGAATAGGAAGCCAGCCCACCTATGGTCACGTACTAGATTAATGTCTAAAAAGGTTGATGTGTGTTTAGCAGAAAGCCCTAACATAACACATGCTTTCAACTTACTTTGCTTCAGAGCCTTTACATGAAGCCTACAACACAACACTCTATTAATACATCAAGCGGTGTATTTTACTGAGAATGATTGAAAGGCAAGCACTGGTTTTTACCTTCTGTGAATGACATTTGAAGTCACAGCTTCATTTAAATCCCAAAACGCATAAGACTGTCAGGATCTGACATGATGACTGTTATTGCCAGACTGAGCCATTTATCTGCACAGGTTCCCTCCATTACTTCTGACAAGGAGCAATAGGTAAGGATTTAGTGTTACCTTTCTCCTTAGATTAGTATTTGTAAAGTGCAGATGTATTTCAAAGAGCATAATTTGATAGTATTAGGAATTGGATTTTGTGACTAGCTAAGTATTGCTTTTGTTCTTCAGTGCCTCAGATCTGGTTTGGTAAATCCAAATGACCGGTAGATTTGCCTCAATTTGGGCTTTCTGCACAATCCAAAGTTTGTTAAGAAATATGATCTTACAGGTCCGTTTTCTTTATGGAACACGACTCTTAGATTTAGAGTGGTTACTCTTCCCCTTTATTCCCAATCCATGAGTTACTATAGTGACTTGTTTAAGCAGGATCTAGGAATTCCTTTTCTGTATTTATTTTGTCCACCCGAACTGGTGGACTCTTGCCTGTCTATCTACTAGTATTTGTCATTCCATAATCATCTTACTAGAATGGTATTAACTCACATGCTGTTTCCTTGAGATTCTGGTTTCTTTGCCAGGATCTGTGTTTTTGCCTCCTCTTTCCTGTCTGTATAACCACCCAGAATGAGCCCAGACGTAGCTGCTACTGCCGTTCCAGCTTTTTGTCCACATCGTGCTGTACTATATGCCTGATTTGTTGTTTGCTATAATTAAGTTCACTCAGATTCTGGCTTCTGCTTTGAAAGACCCCTCTGTGCAGAGAAAAACAACGCAAGGAAGAGGTTTCTCTGATGCTGATACTGGCATATCTTGGTGGGTGGGAGGGCAGCAGGAAAGTGAGATGACTGGCATGGAGTAGTGCGGTTAGATGCAGTAAATGGCCTGGGTGAAGGAATACAGTGTTCCTAGTTAATCCTACAAGGTTTAGGCCAAAATGATATTCACTTCTCTGGGCTCTCTGTTTGCCAAGATATCTTCTGTGTCAGCACGGAAGCTGGGCATCTAGACTGAAACAGTGATAAATTGAAATGTGCATATTTGATTTGGAAACAGAAAGAGGAAAACAGAGTTTTCATGGCCTTACTTAAAAATACATTCTCTTCTAGTTTAGTAATAACAACACAAACCCAATTACTACAGTAAGCAGCACTACTACTGGGTGCTTTGTCCAGGGTAATTTTGGCTTCTACTGCTTCTCTTAGGAGATGCTTTCACCTTTTATTAGCACTTATTGCTAGATGAATTACAGCCAAGAGAAAGGGCAAGTAGTATTCAGGACCTTCTACTCTAGCTGTGCAGTGATCCAAGTGGATACAAGTATATGGATCTTTCTCCTTTTCCGTAACAGTAACTAACTCTGCTATTCCGAGTTCTTTGCATTATCTGGATTCTGAGTCAGATCTTTCCACTGAAAGAAAGTAGTGTACCCCCAGTAAGGTCCATTTTATCCATATTCTTGAGCAGTCTGAGGGAAAAGCAAACCAAAACAAAACTGGGAAGACATTGGCACCAATTAAGACATACTTAAGGAGCGTAAGATAACTTAAACAAACTTGCTTACCGGACCAATTCTTCTAGTTGTGTAGTTAATGGGCAATCCTCCAACGTAGAGCATTCCTACAACATCCAATATATCAGCCTTCTTGGGGCTAACAGTCCTGTTTGAAACATCATCTACTATAAGGTTTCCTTCTTGTTTGGTTCGAATGACTTTTATCTAAAAAGGCACACAAATGCAATACAATTACAGATAGTTTTCTGATAACAAAGCATTTCCAGATTGTAACTAGCCTTAACAGTCGAAAATATATAACAATACGGGACAAAGTAGTAGGAGTGGTTAGCAGAAGTACGTTGGCAGAAATTATGGGTAATGGTCATGGAACAGAGCTCCTGCTCAAGGTTTTGTACAAACACATGACTGCCTTTTAATTAGCTCTGGATCAGGAGGCATCATGACTATTATTTATTATAATAACTGAAAGGACTTGGGGTTCCTTTAAAAAGCTTCATTGTTACTATCTTAGGCATGACACAATATTGTTTTTCCTGGAATCAGATAGAAATTTTAAGTACTGGCAATAGTAAATGCTGAATGTTAATGGCACTGGTTGCAAATCTTTATTACAGCACGTTTGCAGACAATATTCAGTTTATGATTCCACTAGTTTGGACGTGCCTCAGATCATAGTTCATGCTAGAGTAAATATAATACCAGCTATGTTCTGTTGGTATTATGGCTTCTGTTCAGACAAATGGGCTGTGAATCGCATGGAGGAAGTGCAATTGCTGAAGAGCTGAGGAAATTCTACCCCAGCAGCCGTAGGCCGATTTCCTTCCAAAGGTTTATACTGAAATTTCTACAAATCAGTACAATAATGGTTCTGTATAAAAAGGGCTAAAATGTGAAATGCAACATGCATATTAGCAGATTTCTAAACAGCACAGTAGTTAGCTCACCAGAGTAGCAAAGAGAGAGAAACAGCATTTTTCTTTGGCTTTTCTTTAACATGGCTGCTTCTGCTTCAGTGTGGCAGCACATCCATCATATAGTGGCAATGGCTGGACACTGAGAAAGGGTGGCCTGAAGGTGAGGGACTGAACTGGTGTTTATAGACAACTGTAAATTTGAGATGGACAATTACACCTTGGGCAGAAGGAGGACTTGGTGAGACAGACAAGAACTGGGAATAGACACTCTTGCAGAGGACCTAAAGAGCGAGCAGCAGCACGATGTGGCACTGTAACGAGGCCTGCGGGAAGGTTTGATCGGTGCCCTAGCTTCTGCAGGCCTGGTGGAAAAGTTTCAACCTAAACCATTTCAAATGGAGAAAAGGTTCTCCCTAAGAAGCCCCTGCTTTCTTAAAAAACAGAGACTGTAGTCTTTTCTTAAAGAGGTTGCCTTTTCCCCCCTCTGACAATGGACTTCCTTGTGCTTTTTGGGAACTGTGACTTTGGATTTTGTCTCCATTCTCTCCTACAAAAATGGGATCTACAACAAGGGTCCCTGTCCTGCAGAATGCCAAGCTGCATGCCCAGAGAGCACAGTTTTCCATTAAGAAATATATGCCCCAGTCAGTTCTCTTAGAATATAGAGAAAACAGCTATAAAAGCAAAACACATCTGTTCTCTATCTATAGAGGGTCTAGCAGAAAGGGGCCCTGGTCTACTGCCAGTGCTCCCAGGCATTTTGTAAACCAGATAAATAATGACTACAACTTTATTTTTCCCCCTCATGAAATACCTTGGTTTAGAGCATTTGCTATCATCAAAAAGTTCGTGAATAAAAATCCAGTGAAAATAAAATGCCTGCAGAACAGGGTGGGAATGAAGCAGCGAGGGACTAAGGATGACTGCAAAGAGGGTTTTGTAAGAGCAATTCAAGCGTAACAGAAAATGCAGTTAGATTTTTTTCTCATTTGGTGATACAGATGTAGATGGTGACTTTCCAAATATCTGTCTGAAATCTCATGTCTCTCATAGTATATAACTTGAATACATATTTACATGTATTCTTTTCTTCTCTGTCCTTATTGGTGCCTTCAAGCATGTTACCTAATGAATATACTATGTGTCTGTTGTCCTTGGCCCAGTAAATACTAAACTTCATGGTTATGATATTATTCTTTCCCTTACCATCCGAAAGCCACAGGCATTGTGTATAAATGCTTCCTCTCATAAAGTCACAGAAGGGGCTGCCAAATACATCCATGAATATCATATTTATTCCCCAATGAATTGAATTAATAATGCAGGGAAGATTTACTTAAATGTTACTTTTTTTTTCTTTGTTCTTAGCATTATGGCTGAACAATGACATTATTAACATAGAAACAACTGGTTTAAATGATGTATTCCATCTTCATGAGCTGATACTCACCTGAGCCCTATTAGGCAGGAAGGAACATTTTCTGCAGTTCCTTACCATACATGGGACATATTCTAAATATGTCCAGAAATATGTGTTTCCTGAAGGAGAAATTTCAAAGAGCAGCAGTAACTTTTTTGCTAGTGGAATATGTACTGTGTGAATCTGAAAGCACAAATTTTGCAGACTACAGAAAATCCTAGTTGTAAAGTTTAGCTTGTATAGACTACATTTGGCAAATATCATAAGGCAAAACAAAGTGCTCAGCATTACAAAGAATAATTTAGCATTAGAGACTATTGTACCGTGTGCCACTGGCCATCATTTATTTTGTTGGAAATCATTGTTCTGGTGTCTCCACTCCCCAGATCATAGCTGAAGTAAGGCAGTCCATTCTTTATCTGAACCGTAGCAAAATCAGCATGGTTGATACGGGCCATATAAAACAGCAAGCCAGAATCAGCTGTTGTTCGGACTTCAAATTCGATTGTAAGTCTGAAAATCAAACAAACAGGAAAACAGAAACAAAGGATAAGATATTTGGAGTCAGGCAGTAGACAAATTTATCTGCTTTACCTTTTTGCGTTCCTCTAACAAAACTTTACAGTTAGTGACCCATTTTACTTATCCATCAGGGTTTAAGAAAATAATTTGGTTATGCATGAATTGCATTTCACACATATCTGATCCCTAACACGTTCATTAGTCTCTTTACTGTGGAAATACAAAAGTGCAACCTTGGCATACAATTTCAAGATACAATTCTCAGCTGCAGCTGTAGTTGCTAGAAAATCCCAGCGCTTGTAAAATTCCAGCGGCGTTATCCGTCATCCACACACACAATGCTCACAAAGAGGAGCGAGCCGTAGTGACAGCTGGCAAATGTTGAGTTTCTAATGAGTCGTATTGCCTGAAGACAGGTTGCAAAACTTTTAAAGATGCAGAGAGAAGAGTTTACAATCAGGATATAAAGCACTTATTTTGATTTCCCCCAAAAGAAAATGGGGGTGTGTCTGAGGAGGTCTGCTGACCCTTTGGACAGAATGGTAATGCTGAACACTCCCCTATAGCAAAGAACCTGGGAAGAAATGATTTAGATTATCTAGATGCTAAGGTTGTACTGGCAGCAGATCACTAACCTAGCCCAAGCTGAGCTGCAAAGTCAGTACCTGAAAGTAGCTGATAACACAAATGTGAAAAATCACTGCATGGAAATGATCAGGCCAGGATTCTTACTTGAAAAGAAGACAGGCAAAGACTGTAGGATTACATAGTTCATTTAATTATTTTCTTAGTTTTCTAAAATTAGCATACGTGAAAATATGCAGTATAGCATCTTTGTAGGTAAAAATAAGTGTGAGGATGATGGACTTGTAAACTACAAGGCAGCAAAAATGCTTAGTGGTGTGACATGGCACATTTGTTAACGATCATGTGCTGTCAGAGCAAAAATGAACAATTAACAAGTTATAGCTACACAGATCCATTGAAAACAGCTGTATTTTTATAAGTAGCTCTTCGAATTCCTTTGCATATCAACATGTATATGTATAAATTGTTATACTTTGGGAGGGCAATGTTGTTTTGCCTGTTTACTGTGCAAGCTTAATCTTAACTACTGGAGGAAGGGGGAAAAAAGGTTTGCTTATTAGAAGAAATTATGAAGTTACTGAACCAAGAGACTTTCTTCTGAAAAAGCAACCTATGAACTCAGTTGCATGACCTGGTTCCATTCTTCCATTTGTTTTTCTGCAAATCAGTCTGGGATCTGTGTGTGCCCAAATCTTTACAAACAAAGAGGTAAACTGTTTTTGTGAGAGCCACTTAGGTGGGCACTTCATTGCCTGGATTTCATGCTTTAATGCTTTTTATGTTTGCTTAATGAAATGAATTAGCCATGGGATGTGATCTTTTTCAGATTATGCCTATAATTTTGGGAGATGCTTTTGAGAATATTAGGGGGGGCATTTTATTTTGACATTATTCCATTAAAACTCATTGCCGAAATAAACAATATACCTGTTTTTCACTTTGGTGTCATCAAATGCAACTGCAATGTGGCTGTTCCTTGAAAGACCAAATTGCTTGCCACCTTCCAAAATGGCTGGTTCTGTGTCAGCAGCACAGGAATCCTGCAAAATATACAGCGATCATACAGACTTCATATTTTATATCTATCTCAGCTGTGCACATGCTGGAAATCTTCCTACTGCTCAAGACTGAGAATATTCCACCTAGTCTAGACACTGGCCCTGCAGTTTTCCAGTGTGTTGATGTCTCATCACACCAGCTAAAGTGATAAACCAGTATGACATGAACTTGGTGTAAAAGCAGAGCTCATTAAGCTGGCTGTAAAAGCAAATAAAAGTAATATATGAACATTGCTGCTTTCATGCCACTAGTGGACATTTACAAGACTCTTAAGTGATTTCCAGGCAGCTCAGTGTACTCTTAGCTCACATAACTGAGTTTTACACAGTAGGACGCCCTCTTACAAAAATGAAGCAAGACTTAAGTTTTAAAGGGATGCTTTGCTGTCAACTGGAAGTCTAGTCACCTTAAAAATGATGAGTTAAAAGTAGTTTCAGATCCTGCACCTGTGAGAAGTCCTCCATTTTACTTCTTTGTATAGTTTTACAATTGTATTCTTTGTTTAATGTGCTGTTGTTTCCCCTGGTGCTGTTGAAAGGCCCCCACAAACAATAAGGGAAGCCAAATAACTGATGGATAGAAGTAGCAACTGTTAAACTCCCTGAGCCGTCTAATGTGGACACATTACCCAGGGGGTAAAGAAAGAAACCCCTCCCTGTCTGTTCCGCTTCTATTAATCTTAAAGTGGTGCAACAATGGAAGGTAAAATATCTTCTGCCCAGTATAATTTTCTCTTTTTAATTTCACCGGGTCTTTTAATCTCTGGCCCTAAAGCTCTTGTATAGGGGTGCCTGGGGCAATGTGAGACCATGGTAATTACCAGCTCCTACTTATGTCTAGCTTTTGCCTCCCACTGAGAGATTGTGAAGAAACTACTCATAGGATCTAACACAACACAAGATCAGGACAATACCGCTGAGAAAAAAACAAACTTTGATAGCTGCGAGCTCTGTTTTTAAGCACTGTGGCTGATATAATTTTGGATTGGCAACAGTCTCTTATTTGAGCCCTGACTCAGCAGGGACCTGCAAAGCACAAGGTGTGGTGCTTTGCTGACAAAGAGCTCTTTCTGTGAAAGATTTTCAAAATGTCATGAGTGACTCATCAGGCACTGAGATTTCAGCCGCAAAAAGGAAATTTCTTTCCCCCTTCTCTCTCAGTTTTTCAGTAGTGTTATATTTTTTGCTTTCACATGTCACACAAATCTTCACAACAGTATAGAGCACTTCTAAAAATTACTTTTACACAATGAATGCTCTGGTTTGAATATGACAAAGTAGAACACCATGCATTATGACAAGTACACATCAATGTGCAATGGAGGGAAAAAAACGGGGGGAAACTCAGCAGTACCAAACAAAGTTATGAATGTGTGATAGCAGTCTTCCAGTGATCATCAAATAGAAAAAAAAAGCATATTCCCATAACATTGGGTAAAGTTTCTAATTATTTTAAGCATTACAGGTTTATCTAGAAGTTTAACAACTATGTTAATAATAATACTGTGTATATATAACACTTTCAAGAGCATTTGGGCTTACTAAAATTTGAAGATAGGGACTAACTACTGGTACTGGAACAAAAGGAAAGAATTGGAAAATACACTAACACACTTTTCTGTAGCACACTTTTACATATTACACGGTAAAAGGACATTCTGACAGTAAATTCAATCCTAGGCGGGTATGTGTTAGTAAAGGTCTGGCCCTGACACTTTAGCTGCTCCCCAGCATCAGCAAACACTGCAGTTTTTCTTCATCCCAGCAGGAGTACTGTGAGGAAGGGCAAGGAGTGCGGAAGAGTGCCAAACACACCGTGATGGTTGGAATCATAGCAAGCATACACCTATTATTTACTGATAAATACTGATCAATAATAGCGAACATTCATTAGGTTGATGTGCAAATATCAGTAAAAGGAAAAAAAAATCAGTAGGGCATGCTTTAAAAACTTCCAGGTTTTATTCATAAGCCTGTGTCTGCTTTCGCTTTACCTAAGGACAGCCAGCTTTACAGCCTTTACGAGACTGTAAACCAAGCATGGATCATCAGCCTCTATTAAAATATCTCAGCTTTTTTTTTTTCAGTAATGGCCTTCAGGTGCCCTGGATTTAAACGTGGCTGCTTAATAATCTCCCATATTATCTGAAAGCCTCAAGGCTGAACTCTTCAGCTGTACTTTACTTCAGTCTTGTCAGGGACTTGACTGGTAAGTCAAGAAGCTAGGTGTGTATCACAGTGGAAATGAAAAACAGAAAAGCCCACTGGTGGACTGTCACACATTCTCTACAAACAATGCTGTATTAGCAATTACAAAGAAAGTAATTAGGGGAAAAAGGGAGCACCACTGAAGCAGTCCCCACAGTTCATTGAATAGTGTTAATAAAACAGTGAAGTAATGCGTGGAGTAGTGGAAGATACCGTCATGGAGTCAAATGCAGAAGTGATGCTGGCGCTCTTCATTTCAGTGGCAAGCGAATCCTGAGAAGCAGTGAATAATATGAGGCAGAAGCAGCAATTACCCAATGTTGAGAAACATTTTGGCATCCGTAGCAAGCAGCAGCAGCAGACTGGTGACCAGTGTATTTCCCAATTGTCCTACTCCTAGATCTTGCCTTGCCTTTAGTAGAGGGTAGTTTTTTTTTCATTTGGGATTAAACTCCTCTCCCCTTTTACATGCAGATGGATAATAGAGATAAAAAAGGTCCTGAAAGGACTTAAGTTCAACAGATACCTTATTTAAGCCTACTATGTGGAAATTATTTTTTCTGCTGTATATTTTCCATATACAGTCCTTCTACACTGAGCTTCCATATAATTAACTGTCATATGAGTGCTATCTTATTATTAGACTGTAGTTACTTATTTTGTTGCAACATTCTTCCAACCTAAACGATTCTATGATTCTATTCCCCAGAAAAATACTTTGGAGAACTTACTCAGATGAATGTAAATCTATCCAAAAGCTTGCCTTATTTAAAATGCTTTCAAGTCTTCAGAATACTAAAACAGTTTCATTTTTTTCCAAGAGAGAAAGTGGACTAATGGTGTTTTATTTAGATTTTTATTTTGAACTCCTGTTTCAAGTTATCATGGCTCTAGATATGTGATATACAAAACTCACCTAGTTACAATGGGACTAATTTCTGGTATTGATGAGCAGATCTATTCCTCTCAATTTTGCTATTTAAAAGTTAGTGCTTAGAGTCTTAGAATGTGCGCACTTGCTCTCTCATGTGCTTCTGTGTTTTTTTGTTTTGTTTATAATGCTTGATCAAACGATAATATGACTGCACTCTTTCACAACAGTGAGCATGAAACTGGATAACTCTTTTTACCTTGTTGTTGCCTGGTTCCTTATCTTTCTATGGTACCCTTGCTGTACTGCAAATTTGCTTACTTTCAACTCCAAAGATGCATCAGAGCCCTCGTGTTACAACTACTCCACCTTGTGGGAATGAATAAAAAATGCTGCCCCAGAGCATGAAGAGGCCGATACATGTAACTGGGGCTCGGGGCAAGGTAATAGCTAAGATGGAGCTTGCCTATCTTGAACCCCAGGCTCCCATTTCCAGGTACACAGATGGCTGCACGTGCTTGTGGAGACAAGTCCTTCTAGATAAAGCTGTGCCATAGGTACCTGGCCAATGAAGGTGGCCATGAATCTGAAACATAAAATTAACCTTAATGAGTTAGGGGTTTTGGCCTAATTTTTGTACCTTTTTTTTTGTAGGAGAACATTGTTAGAAATCCTACCTATGTCCAAGGAAAACAAGGTATGAATTCTGAATGAGTTAGGTAACTCATGGGGCATGACTGTGGCAATGAATTCGGGTTCCTTTGTCTCTAACTGACAGACTTACAGCCAACTGACTCACTGAAACTCACAACTTTTTTTTTTTTTTTTTTTTAATTGTGGTCTTCATGCAGTTAATTGATAACCTTAATCTCTGGGTCACACAGAAAAATCCAATACAAACAAACTCAGCGTTTGTGTCAGTGAGGAGGTGTGAAATGGGAGTGAAGATTAATCCTGACCCAGCATGGGAGCACGTCTCAAAATGGTTAAAAGATCTTATGAGGCCAATCTGGGAGAAACTGTCAAAATTACTGACTCTTTTGTATTTAATATATATAAAAAGGGAAGTTAAATATTCCAGTTGTTAACTTCTCAAAACTGTCTTATTATGGTAGTGTAAATTATGGTAGTGTAAATAGGCTCCTAACTTGGAAATGTGTGGTTTTTTCACACTGTTTGGAAACCTCACCATACTGAACTATATCCTGCATAAACGTGTGGGTTGTATGCAGGTGTAACAAAACACAAAGGATTTCCCCCGCAAGAATATCTTCCAGTGGATATATTATTCAGTTTAATATTCAGATATCTAAACATATTTTTTTCTGGACAGTAAAATGTTGCATCAACTCATAAAACTGCTACACTTGTGACAGAAGTTTCTTCTTAAATTTCATTGTATAAGACTGCTTGCTACTACCCAGCTATTTAATATTTCTGGCAACAACAGTTGAGCTCAATTTAGCAGTGACTGGGGTTTCAGTTCTTAAGTTCATAAGTCTCCTGACTAAAGTTATAAAATAGCAGTGGAGGAACTGCCCTATCAAACAGGCCTCTCTGGTTTACCCGTTTCTTCATCCTGTCACATGGCTGTTATCATGTGCTTCAGAGAACAGCACAAGAAATACCATAATGACATGGGTTTCCCATAAGCAAATTTCCCTTCCAACCCTGATCAGATATTGCTTGGCTTGCATCCTGAAGCGCAAGGGTTTAGGGCTAAGCATGCAAGCCAAAGGAAATTCTACTGCTATATCACTCTTTAAATTACTGTTGTGATAATCCAAGCAAATTACATCAACCAGTTTTCCATTATCCACAGGTTTTACTGACCTGCAACAAGGTGTTCCCTTTACAATCATGCTGAATTACTACTATTTTTGTGGCAAATTACTTCATTAGTCTTGATGGATACCTTTTCAATTTTGCCTGGAAAAAGAAACTTTTCAAACTTCACTTAAGTGATGCGATCTACACTTACAAGTGCTGAAGACGGAGATGGTGTTGGAAGAGGAGGGGAAGCAGGAGTTGTCCCTGGTGTTGCTTTCTCCCCATTAGCATCTGGTTCAGGTTGGATCAGGACTGTTGTGTGGATTGGCTTATCTTCATCCTCAGGTGGCCTAACTTCTGGTTCTAGAGAGGGACATCGGCCAATATCTGCATTTTCAAAGGACACGGGTTGAGCAAAGTCCATGGGGCTGAGAACACACAAAGAAATTGAGGTCTGTTATTAGTTTTTCTGCCTTTTTACCACCCATTTATAAAGAATAGCTATATACTACAGTGTAATTCCATTTCACAGGACGCAAGAGCCAGGATCCATCCCATCTATTTTAGGTACAGAAGTGGGATACTTAAATTAGAGGTCATAGTCACCATTGGCTTTCCTTCTTACAGTTGGTGCAGAGAGACAGGCATCCTCTTTGGCAAGCTTTACCAGCCTAGGTAGGCTGAATGACATTGCAGAGAAGTCATTCTCTCTGATGTACACTGATGGAGTGTGGGGTGATGAGATCTGAATTTAGGTACTTCAGCTATGTGAAAGAAAGATTTAGATGGGAACTTTCTGTAGAGGTTTTACTTTATTCACCATTCCCCTTCTTTTTACTTAAATGTTCCTTCCAGATTACTGCAGCATGCACTTTCCACAAAGCAAATTTATTCCCATGGTGGTTCTCAGGTTTTGTATACTCTTGGAGATCAGCCTTACTTAAAATAAAGTGTTATAGTACACCATAAATACCTATGACTGAGGCAAGTCTTACTGCAGTGTTACTGTTGAATTTCTCTGATTTTATAGATAGACAGGTGTTGGCTTGTCTGTAAAACAGTTCATTAATTGCATAGCCTATGGAGTATATATTGTAGACAAAAAAAGGAAGGGCATATTAAGAAAACAGATCATATTCTAGGATTTGCTGTTAGTATGATTCCTTGCAACAATGACGTTTCTTTTGGCAGCCAAGGTAGTTAACCAGACATCATTAACTGGACATTTGCTGGCATCAGTGAGACTTACGTGGCATTAATGACAAGATTCCATATACAGCCCTCAAACGGTGGTATGTTTCTGAGAGGTGCAGTCTGAAACTGAGAAGAAGTACCCCCCACAAAGAGTTTCTTTACAGAGATGGGCTGGTCTGTTGGCAATCTCTGAGTCTGGCCTTTGTCTTCATCTACTTGAACAGTGAACATCCTGTGAAAAAGATTTGAAAGCAAAGAAGTATATGTTTTACTCTGGGTATTGCTTGTATTGAAATCACCACTTCGCAGGCCTCATTTACTCCTATACCAGCTATAACACTGAACAATGCAAATTATGTAATGAGCAGCTCACATTAAATGCATATTAACCACTAGAAGGTTTTCAGCTACTGCTATGCTTCCTGGACAGTTCTTTGACAGAGCTTGGCAAAGCCGTGCTGCAGAGAGGCGATAATATCAGTCACTGGTCAAATAGAAAGAAGTGGTTTGTAGTATAGCAAAATGGACATGGTAAGGGCCCAGCCTGCTGCACTGTGATGGTAGGCATGATCATCTAGTGCTCAGCAGGATGGGAACAGCATGGGGTCACATTTTGTTTGGGTCCCTATTTCCTGGTTTGTACAAGTTATTATCTTCTTGCAGGGGCACAAACACTGCTACAGACTGCTCTGACTGCAGAATCAACTGCAGATACGTACTGTAGACTTTTAAAAAAAAAGATCTGGTAGCCTTCTTCTGGGGGAGACAGCAGTGTAGGAAAATTGCTGATTGTTCACTATGTACTGATAGCAGTGCTATAATTCATTCTCATGGGTAATGCACATGCTACAAGACAAAGCAGTCCCATGGAAGATACTGTTAAGGTTGAACAGAGAAAGGTAGAAGCCTCTGAAGCACAGCACTACTGGCTGACCAAGACAAGTCAAGGAATGGAAAAAAGAGCAACAAGGAAAGGGTAAATATGGTGAAGGGCATTATTCGGGTAAAAGCAATGTGAGAGAAAAGCTGAATGCTCTTGCCTGTCAATGCTACTGAGATGCAAATGTTGTGGGTTTGTACCACATTTACAAGGAAACACGGTAAAGAGGACAGAAGGTGAAAAACTAGTTTGCCAAGCCATACGTTGTATATACTGAGAAAGCAGCATTGATGTAAAGGCTGTGGAATTGAGAGACAGTGGATTATTTTGATGGGTAACATACATAACAAGGTATAGCAACAAGACTCAAAAATTTATCTGCTGTCTTTGGGACAATTTACCATTGATGAAGCAGAGAAAATCTCCAACTTCTGAACAAATCCAGCTGAGTTTCAAAGGATGGATAAGAACTACAGTGTTTTTGAAGGTGAATGTAGAATGCTAGTTGGCATAATTTCTTTATGTTGTTAGACTACATTTAATACAATTTAGCCAAGAGAGAATCAGGACCACAAAAAAAGCTATATGTGTCTCTGGTAAACTCTGGTATGATTTATGAAGTGCAGTGTTTATTTCAAATATGTTACAGTCATACTAAATGTCAGGACCTAACTATTCAAGCATGTTTGACTATAATTAATTATCTAAACCCAAGTTGGGTATCTGTAAGTAAGTAGCTTGATTTTTCAGAATTACTGAGCATCCTTACAACATACCAGAAATAATCAGTTTCCGGCAAATAACCTCACTTTTTTCAACTGCAAAATTATATTGAACTCCAATATTGTTCCTTAACAATAATCACAAAAGTTAGGAACTGAATATTGAAATTTTTTATTGAAAAGAGGCTGGTTTTCATATGTAAAACGCTTGTCTTTGTTATTTATGCAAGTCCTAGACAGAACTGGATAGTGACTTAAGCACTTGAATTAGATAACTGTTGCACAACATGCAAATTGTCCAATTTCCTCATAGTTTTGGATGGATTTATTTGGTGTAGAAAGCTGTAGAGTAAGAAAGTGTTTCATTTTTCAAAGGGTTGGAAGAAGTGGGTATTAAAAGACTTATCTTTTGGGACAATCTCTAGGATCTCCCCCAGGCCCTTCAGCAGTGGAAACAAAAGGAGAGAGATTTCTTTGGGGGCAGTTCAGAACAACAGACTAATTTGGGTTCTGTGAAGTGTCCCAGAGAGGACACTTCTCTCCACTGCCTTCAGAGGAAGTG